GGGTCTCTCCATCAATCAGCGCTGACTGCAGAATTAGAACTTTATGCCACATAAACCCACGAAAACTGGTAAGTCCTCCTGCAATTTAGGCAGTCCTCTAATCATTACACACCTTTGTTCATTACATTTCCAAATCGGATATGTAAGGATTGGAGCAGCCAGGGTGGTTTCAGTAAAACCCAATCATCTTGTGTTGCTTTGCAAGTGAAAGCCAACACCACCCAGGTTTTCATTTTAGACTCATGGCTTAGAGAAAGCAGTGAAAGAAAGATTTTCTGGCTAACAGATGATAGCCAACATAGCAAGTGGTATATTGTCTGGGTCAATAGAGAGTTCTGCATAATTGCTGGAATTCCTGGCTCACTATCCGATGGTGTGTGAAACTAGGAAATCCTCTGACTTGACACAGGTGCTCGATGAATCTAAAGGATCGGATAACTAATATTGAGTTGTTGAAGTAAACGCTGGCAAAGAAGGCTTTATACAAAATCTCCCTTTCAAAATGGAGATATTTTTAGGTGAATATGTTCTTTGTATAAATGCTAGACTTACCAGATGGTTGTCCTACCTTCACAGAGGTCAAGAAGAATATGAATTTCTAGAGTGGCCAATTTTCTCAGTGAAGAACAGACTTTGTACACAAGCTATCCTCCTCAGTCTGTTTTATTTACAATAGTGGCACAAAGTTCCTTTTACTACTTTGAATAAAGAGGAACTAACAGAAAAAGCAGCAGCAGAGCATAACAGTGTTTTTAAGAAATTCCACTTTGCAGGTCACTATAAAATCTGTCTCTTTTTATGCAAGCTTGTTGTTTCCCTACTAAAGTTATTATAACTAAAGGATAAAGATCCTACTACAACCTGATCAAATAGCCCACAAGTGGCAGAAAGATGAGAAATTAAAGTTTTACTATCTCTATTATGGACCTGTAATCTCTCTAGCTCTGTTACGTATGAATCTGAAGCACCCAGTGATTCACACAGCATTCTGTTCCTGGTTGTGACCTGTATGGATCATTCAGACGAAGGCAACGTTTCCATCAAAGAACCTTGTTGCATGAGTCTAGAATTTGTTCATATGTACAAAGAAATACACGTCAACTGGGAATACAAAAATGAAAATATTAACATCTGCAACGGTCAGAAAACAAACCATTTCTGCTCTCAATACACACAGGATTTCAGAACTTGTTCACTCAGTCCAGGCGAGGTGGGAGTCATTCAAATGCAAAACAGTCTCTGTACATTAAATCTCACTCACAATTTTCTCTCAGGAAATCAGAGTATTAATAAAACAGGAAGATGTGGTGAGGGAAAGTCTAATATACGGCTCTCCTTTTCAGAAGAGCATAGCACAAATGCTAAACATTAAATGCTTCATTTTTCCAGGAAGTTTCTTTTGGATGATTATATCCAAAAGAAACTCAGCAAACTTTTAAACAAGAAACCAAGCGACCGTTTGAACCTAATGTTTAATTATTCTTCTATATAGAAATCGAGGTTGGAAAGTCATCTGTTACAGGGCCCAAAAGAAGTGGGGGGGGAGGGTGGAACCCAACTATGATCATCACTGCCCTCTGCAGTCCTTTTGGAAAACTTAAACAGAATTTAGGGACCAATATAAAAATGAAAGTTTTCTATTAACAGGCTATAATACACAAGCACCAATGAATCTTAAAAGAAAATAAATGTATACATTTGGAACAGAATGGAATTTACATTTTCCCAGAGCCTTATCTAAAAAATGTAGGGCAATTTTTTCCCACCCCACATCTTGATTCTAGGGTGATTAGTAGGGATGTGAAAAATGGGCTGTATTTGATTCGGATTTGGCTCAAATTGGGAACAGCGATTCCATTTGGCTGAATCTGAATCTGAAGATCGATGCTGATTCAGAGAATCAGCGATTCAGCTATAGACACAGCTTTGAATGTTTTCTCTACATACCTTGAGGTACCAGGCATGGCTCATGAATGCTGTGATGGTGGGGCAGATGGAGTGTCCCACAGGAGCACGGGGGTCCCCCCACGTGCTCAGCAGTGGACCTCGAAGTGGACTGGAAGTACTTCTGGTTCACTTCCAGGTCCGCCCAGGAGTGTGCTGGGGGGCCCCACCACGCCCTCCCAAGCTTGGCAATTGGCCTGAGGGGGACCCCAGGTGCTCCCCGAGATCCAGGGGCACTAAGCCAGGGGGAGTGTCCCCCATGCACTCTGCGGTGGACCCAGAAGTGGATTGGAAATGCTTCTGGTCCACTTCTGGGTCTGCTGCTGAGCATGCTGGGGACCCCCCACACTCCTGCGGGACGCTCCATCCGTCCCAGCATTGCAGCACTCATGAGCCTCGCTGGTACCTTGAGGTACGTAGAAAAAACATTTAAAGGTGTGTCTATGTCCGAATTATCGAATCTCTTGGAATCGAATTCAACTTGGAGAGATTAAAGGATTTTCTGATTCTATTCAGATTCGGCCACCAAATCGAATCAACAACTGAAGCTTTGCACAGCCCTAGTGATTATCAAATGCATAAACAAATCAAACTGTCTGATTTCTCATGCACAACTGTTTATAGCTATTATAGAGAATATTGTGACTATTGTGTCTTTAGGTCACACAGGTTATTCAGGCCAATATCCTTTGCAGATTACTGTCAGTATATGCAAAGTAGGTGCAAAATCACTGCATCACATCCATGAGTCATACAAAATGCAGCAATGGAACTGGATGTTAATTCTGAAAATGTGTTCCTTAAGATGTTGAGTGTCATGTGTATGCAAGTGATTAGAGGGTGGAAGTCATTAGAACTAAAACAATTCACACCCTGTGCTAAAATATCCAGAAAATCTTAATTCAGTATGTGCCTTGAGTAATAAAGAAACACACTGAGCATAACAAGATCTACTGAGACATTATGGTAAAAATACCACTGTGCGCATCTTTTTGGAGGACGGAGGGAATGGAGGATATAATCAGAACAAGACATGGATAAATATGTGTTCCTCCTAATATAGTACTTAAAGTTTTAAGCTTTAAAAAGCAGATTTATATCGTCTCATATGTCTCCACAGAAGTAAGGAAGGCAAGACATATTTAGTGATATCATCTTGTATAAAAGATGAAAAGGAAACATCCTCCATTGAATGAACAGCAGCCAATTTCCAAATTACGGCTACATCTCTGGTTTGTTTTCAAAACTTACTAAAGATAGATAGGACAAGATCCAGAAACTGGCACAATCTTATTCACCCCAGTAGATACTAGGATGCTAATATGTGCAGTCTAGAGGAGTCCTTTCACAGCAGTAAAAACTAGGTATTCCAGAGGTCAAACTTAGACCTCAAGACTTCTGGAATAAAAGCCTAGTTAGAGCAGTCAGGATCCAGTTTCCAGCAGCTGCCTATAATGCTGGATGCCTCTTCTTGCATACGTTAATGATTAGGAACAGACATGTGGAAATGCACTCTTTTTGCCCACACAAATATATTTGTATGTGCTAGTCAGACTGGGGGACAACTGTCTCTCTGACTGCTATATCCAGGACGTATTTGCGCTAAATAAAAACCACAACCACTTCTTCAGGAACAATGGTTCGGATATGTGAAAATGAGGATATTGAGAGTAAGACTAGAAATTTGACCTCTATGGTTTCACTGTGAAGCAGGCTTGGACAACTTTCATAAGCAACAATACAGAAAATGGGGATCTCAGAGGAAATAAGTATGTATTTCTCATATCAGAGGAAAGAATATAGCACGTGTTTATAACATACAAACTCCAAAGCCACGGGAGACTTTGTTGTGCTACTGAACCTCTCAGAGAACATCTACGTTAGTTAAGTGCTTGTTCAGCATTCCATTCTCCATCCTAACAGCTCTATGCTTTGAATCTAGGCATTTTCCTTTGGGTTAACACTTCACAAAAACCACAGCTCAGTCCAGAAGCACATAAAAGATCAAGCTCATCTTACAATAAAAGCCACAAGTGAAGAAACACATTTAAAACCCCCTATAAAATAATGGTTTTATTCTTCCTAGATTTGCTTCAACAGCTGCTGGCTTAGAGAGTGTCAGCAGCTTCATGAAGTTATGCACTGATTGAGGCACTGCTGGATTCTTAGGGATGTTTTTCCTTTGCAAGCACTTCCCAGATATCAACTTTCGGATTAGACACCCACTTAGTGACATAGTTAATGAATTCTGCACAGCATAACTTAAGACACACAGTAACTTGAACATATGGCTTTCTGACCCTGACAAGTCATTGCATATGCTCAGCCCCCATCCTAAGGTAAGATTCTGATTCTCTTCTCACCCCAGATTCAAAGGGAGCCATGCTGACACTCATAGCCAATGCAATGTTCAGTGTTAGAAGCCAATATGCTCCCACCCCACTCTATTCAGGCTCCATTTGAAAGCTCTCACTGACTCAAAAACAGTAGGGATGACTCAAGAAAATAAGGACAAACTACAACTGGGATGGAATGACAATACATAAGAGACTGAACACCGATATGAGAGGGTGCCATTCTTTGGAAGTGGTTCCCCAGCTTTCTCTTTGTGCTTATGAACAGTGAGGCCCTTTCTCCAGAATCTCTACAGACCTAAACTGATTTCAGACTAGCTTTCAAGAGGCAAAAGTCACTGAAGCTTGTTACTCACTGCCTACGTTATTCTGTTCAGGGCAGATGTTCTGCTGTTGGAGGCCTGGCTACTAGATTAGAACGAAATGGGTCAGGCTTGTTGGCCTTTTCTGGTTAAATAAATTATAGCTGATTATCTCTGACTCACCTAGACATTGGTTACAGACACACCGTAGGTTACAGAATTAAACAGAAACCTCTACTTGTTCGCTCTTGTAACACATACTAGTACAGATCAATTAAACTGGAAACAGGTAATCATGAGAATCTGCACTTGAGTTTTTACCTGGTTTATAATAGTATATAATGCGACTAGATTAGATGTTCTAAAGAGAGAGTATATGAGATCCACAAAAAACACGTACTTAACATTAGTGTTGGTGCAAATTATGTATTCAATCTCATCAGAATAAGGATTCTGAAAAGTGAAGCTGCTGGTCCTGATCAACATCCATTCCCGATTTTTGGTACGAAAACGATACATCACAGATAGGACTTGGCCTTTCAGTTTCACCACCTGTAAAAGTATTTGTAAAGGTTACTGACAACAGACTATTATCTGACATACAAGCAAACACCACAATAAGGTGAGATTGTACAAAAACAAAGACAGAAGAGGAATAAGCACAACCACCCAAAGCCACTCTGTTTGCAGTTAGCTCCTTCAGGAGTAAACCAGTATTAAATTATATCTGCTTCCAATTTGAATGCCAGTACGGTATGCACTCAAGGATTTCGCTTTCAGCCCACCATCAAGGGATTAAAACCCTGGTTTAACATGCAACACATTAACATGTTTTGATAGGAATCAAATTGCACCATCTTTTCCAAGTACAAATATTTTCAAATAAATCACAAGGAAACTCTGTACAGCATGCAGAAACAAATGTCCACAAGATAAAAGATCATTGTATTACAGTGTCTCATTATCTGCTTCTTCATCTGGATTCTTAGGTCCCTGACAGACCTTGGATTTAAGACACGATTAACTGGTTAATCGCATCTTAAGTAGTGACCTGGCCACACATTCATTCAATTACTGCCATGATAAAACAAGGAATAAGCCACAAAGGTATCATGCAAAATATGTGCAATAACGTTGCTGTTGGTTCCTATCACGCCTTTAATTGAACATATGGTCAGTGCTCCCAGCCTCCAGAGCACACCAGACCCCTTCAAGGCTCCAGAGGCTGAGAGCACTGGTTAGCTGGGGGTTTCCAGCCACGGGGTGGAGCCTTTGGCTCTGAGGAACTCCCGCAGTTGGGAACATCCATCAGCTGATCAGGGCACTCAGCCAAAGGCTCCCCTGTGCTTTCCCTACTGGAGGCCCCAATCAGTAGGGACTTACTTAATTTGTGGGTTTGCAAATTTTGTGGAAACCATGAAATCTAGGACTGTCTGCGAAATCCATGAAATTAACCAAAAAACTCAATCAAAATAGAAAGATGGCTCCCCAGTGGGAGCCAGTGGTCCTTGCTACTAGCGGGGGAAGGCGCTGGCTGGCATGAAGGGCAAAGATGTTAGGGCAGCTGCCCACTCATCCCTTCTCACCCTGCCAGGGCCTCTCCACCAATCAGTGCCGAGGGGCGGGGTTGCTGTGGAATGCCTGCAAAAATCAGCTCTGTGTGCTTGCCACAATTTAAGTAGGTTCCTGCCAATCAGCTGGAGGGCTCCCAGTCAGGGGAGCACACTGCAGCCAAGCTTGCTACTTGCCAGTGCAGGGGGAGCCTCCAGTCATGACCTTGGGCTCCCCCTGAACCAGCAACATGGTGCAATGGGATCTGATGCTTGAACACACAATCACCCCTTATGCCATACACATGTGGTATGGCAGGAAGCATCATCATTGGGATCATGCACCAGATTCCATTGAACTTTTAATTTAATGTCTGTCTGCAGCCTTAGCTACAGATCATAGTTGTGATGCACCAAACAATTTAATAGCAGCAGAAAGCTCCTAAAGTCTTTGGAGTCTTACAAAATAGACCTAGTTATTAGGGCTGTGCGAAGCTTCAGTCCCCGATTCAATTTGGCGGAGATTTGGCCCGATTTGGTGGCCGAATCTCCAAATCTGAATCAAGTCAGGGGACCCTTTAATCTTTCCGAATCGAATCAGAAAGATTTGGAGACAGACACAGCTTTAAATGTTTTTGCTATGTACCTTGAGGTAGCAGGTGGCTTGTGAATGCTGTGATGTTGGGGGCGCATGGGGTGTCCCACAGAAGCGTGGGGGGTCTCCAGCGTGCACAGCAGCAGACCCGGAAGTGGACCAGAAGCACTTAAGCACTTCTGGTCCACTTCTGGGTCTGCTGGAGAGTGTGTGGGGCAGGAGGGGGCCCTCCGTGCCACCCCCCAGCTTAGCAACTGGTGCCTCCTGGGTCTTGGGGGGGCAACTGGGGTCCCCCCATGGCCAACTGCCAAGTCAGGGGTATGGCGGGGCCCCCCAGTGCACTCCTGGGCAGATCCAGAAGTGGACCAGAAGTATTTCCGGTCCACTTCCGAGTTTACTGCCAAGGACATGGAGGCCCCCCCCCCCACGCTCCTGTGGGACGCTCCATCCACCCCAGCATCACAGCATTCACAAGCTGCGCTGGTACCTCGAGGTTCGTAGAAAAAACATTTAAAGCTGTGTCTATGTCTGAATCGCTGATTCTCTGAATCAGCATCGAATCTTCAGATCTGGATTTGGCCGAATGGAATCAGGGAGAGCGATCCAAATCAATGAATTTAACTACTGTCCCTGATTCGGGCCAAATCCGGTTCTGAATCGTATAGGGCCCGCTTCACACACCCTTACTGGTTATTTGTCACAAAGTGATTCTTTCAGTGTTATGCCTGAATATTGTGTCAGAGGAAGTAAGTCACAGAATTGTAGAAGTCGGGTCAGAAGGGACCTTGTAGATCTTCAAGACTGACCCCCTGCCTGGGCAGGAGAAAAACTGGGCTCAGATGACTCCAGCCAGGTAGGCATCAAGCCTCCTCTTAAAGACCCCCAGGGTAGGAGCCAGCACCACTTCCCTTGGAAGTTGGTTCCAGATCCTAGCCGCCCTGACTGTGAAGTAGT